GATGAGCAATTCGGCCTCATCGTGTCACTGTTGAAGTGGTCTGACGAGGAGGATGTGCTGCGGCGGGTGAATGCGACCTTGTTTGGACTTGGTGGCTCGGTGTGGAGCAAGGACGTCCAGAGGGCGGAGAAGATGGCGAGAAGGATGGAGGCGGGGACTGTTTGGGTCAACACGCACTTGGAATGTGGCGCGAATGGCTCGTATGCTGGGCATAAGAACAGCGGCATTGGTGCGGAGTGTGGATTGTTGAGCATCAAGGAGTGGTGCAACCTCCAGGGGGTTTATGTGAGAAAGGACTAATCAACTGGACGAGGGTTAATCGGTTTTATTGGGGCCAATATGGGCCAGCTTCGACTGTTCAGGGGGATAATAGCTATCAGTACCGTGAGAGTCGGCATAAATGAAAGGAGCTCTCGCTTGGGTCAGTATCCGGGTTTGTGTCTTCTTCCAGGTTTGACAATTAAGGTATCTGGTACTCGTAGTCCAAACTCGGGCAGCCCCTTATCGATCTCCATCCGACTCGTCGTGCATCCAAACTAAGAAAACCCGTTATCTCCCAGCTTGCTATGCAATGATTCCCTGTAATAACACCTTCGCACCGTAAACCCATAGACATCGCTATTTGAAACGACAGACATAACCATGTGTCTTCCACAGCAACAACGGATGCAATGTCGAAAACGGAGCAGTGGCAGATGCACAAGACACCCGACACTGTCTCACTCCGGCTTCTGCCCATAGACGATATAGCTGTACGAAAACGCGTAATTAGCCCGACAGCCCGACATTCACTTCCACCCGTCGATGAAGCTCGTCAACACTCACAATGGCCAGTACGCGTGTATCGACCTGTTCTTCAGGTCCTTGCGGACATCAACCAAGAACACCTCCAGCTCCTCCGGGGTCCAGCCCAGCACGTTGGTGAAGAGCATCAAGCTGAGCGCTTGCAGACCCTCCAGGATATTCTCGTAGACCCACGAGCCTGCGAATGTTGATTAGCGTCTAGAGTCTACCCGGCATGTCTGTTATCAGTGCACTGATCTCACCTAGCTCCTTGTACTTCTTGTCCTTGGGCCACGAATTAATAGGCCACTTGAACTCGACCTTCTCGACGTTGGTGAACCCGGCCTCGACGAGCTGCTTCTCGTAGTCGCGCACCGAGATCAAGCTCGCGCCGAGCTTGATCGACGCCTCGACGAACAGGCTGTTCCACTTGACCAGCGCGCAGTCGGCCGGGAGCGTGCCGTCGTCGCAGATCAGCGGGTTCAGAGGGTCGCAGACCTCGATGTAGCCGCCGGGGTTGAGATTTCTATAGTAGTGCAAAATTGGTGTTGTCAGACGAGGTTTTGGCGCGGCACAAAGCTTGGCACGGAGGGATGCGAGGATTTGAGGATCCATGGCTAAAGAGGGGTGAGAAAGAGAAATCGAGCATGTCTTACTGGAAAGACTGCCTGAAGAGATTCGGCCAGTCCTTGATGGACCCGCATAGGAGACGCATGTAGATAAAGTCGAACGGGATGCTGTAGGTCCACTCTGCCTCGAGATCATCGATCAAGAACTGCAGGTTGGGTGGGATGCTGCACTGGGGTGTAAGCATGGATGATCAAGGATCTCTGGACCTCCTGGCCGTTCAAGTTGGGCAAGAGTAGGTAGGCATGATGCGAACTCACAAGGGGGGCTGGATGGGACTCAGATCAACCCCCACAACCTGAAGAGAACACCGGTGTCAGTGGCAGTAAGCATCATGGCAACTGAGAGGAGACGTACTGCTGCCTCGGGGTGCTCATCCGCTGTTGCCGACCCGGACTGTTAGCTGCTTGGCTTTGTTTACCATCGCTCAGGGGCACGTACCAAAGTCTATCGCCCAGATGCCCGTCCCGCAGCCGGCATCGAGCACTCTGCCCAGCGGCTTATCTTTCCCGGCCGGGGAGATGAAGAGTCTGTTGTCCTGCATGAGGATGCACAGGTTGTGCTGGAGATCTACACATTGTCAGCCTGCCTTGTTGCCGGTTGCATGCATCGACGGAGTGCAAGCCTCCTTACCTAGACGCGAGTTCTCTGACTATTACAAAAGACACTTTCTGTCAATACACGACAAGGGGCGCAGTGGACATGCATGCACGGAAACTGATTATCACGGACTTCATCATTGGGAAGGAAGTACGCTAATATTAGATGCATCTCGGTCAGAACATTTCCTGCACACTGCGTTGGGGCATGAAAACTCACCTCCTTCCTTGTACGCGTTATAGGTGCGTCCATTTTCCTCGCGGAATCTATAGATGCTGGATGCCAACGAAGTGGTTTCGCTGCCATGGTCACCCTGGGGTTGCAAATCGTCCTCATTCATTAGCATGCAGTCCAAGCATTTCATATATTGATCTTTTCTGGATGCATGCAGCAAACAAGATCCATGGATGTTCCTTACCAGACCAAAGGCAGAGTCGCCGTCCTCTCCATAAACATCGGGCTGGATTGAGCATGTCAGCGGTGGAACCCAATATGTCTCTCATGATAGTCCACACCGCTTCTTACATCAGCTTCCAGGACCGTGGGAGGTGCATCACCGGCAGCGGCCCGCGGGCTTGCACGTGGAGACGGGCTCTTCTGGGCCGTGTCTGACATCGCGACGATCGGTCGATTAATAACTCCCGGGTTGGTGGGTAAGGGTAGATGTAGTACGCCGTTGCTCCCGATAACGAGGAAATAAGGTTATGTGGTTGACAGAGCAAGGGGGCGGAAACACAAAAACACAAAACTTGGGATTTGAAGAAAACTATCGGAAAACCCCTCACAGGCGGCGATGTCAATTGGGGACCTGAACTTAGCTGGCCTAGTGTGTGTGGCGGACGGGCATTCGTGACACATCGGCATTTGTCGCCGATTATGCAGGTCGGCCTAACTTACCAATCCTGGATGGTGCGCTGTGCTGCTACAGCAAAGCCATCGCGGGCGCGGTCCATGATGCGATCCGTTGAGAGCGCTAATCCTGCACGGGCTGCTAAAAATCGCCACAGCTGGTCCTCCCCACGAAAGAGGGCAAAGCTTTGCTGAAGCTGAACCGACGTGGTTGGGAAAAAAGAGACTGTCTTGCTGCATGCTGGCACTGGCGCGACTGGATCATTCCTGCGGATTCTCTCTTGTCGAGACGGACTGGATTGACTGGAACTGTCCTTGTTGAAATCGGTGCAGGTTGCATTGCAAACTGCCGCCTCCTGTACCCTATGTATTATGTTCCGCGGGTGTAAGTTAGACCCGGTCATAAGATTTCACTCAAGGACAACCCAGAGTGGTCATTTGCTGGCCGTACACTTTGTGGCATGTTACTTATCTAGTGGGTCCCCAACCTGTTGGAGTTAAAACGGTTGGACAAAACCTACTACATGGACTGCGGTGTCCGGCCCTCGGAACCTCTTCCGGGGACGGATGGCCTCGCTGATCCGGGCTAGCTACCAGGTAATTGTCATCCGGCCAACAATCCCGTACACTGCCTTACACTACCTGCCCTACCTTACCTACCAGGTACCATTCACGGTTCACACTGTCAACGGTCATCAGATGGCACCAACGCAGCCCAGGTAAAGGATGTTCCGTTCCACTGAGCCGAGCCCCCTTCTAGGCAAATGCGACCGTTTCACAGCGTTGGAAACTGACCCCTTTGCAGCTTCCCCGCAGTCCGGGCATGTCTCTTTGACATGGACGGCCTGCTTCTCAACACCGAAGACATCTACTCGCAATGCGCCAACGAAGTCTTGACCAAATACGGCCGTCCGCACCTCCCATGGCCCATCAAGGCCAGGATGATGGGCGTGCCCGGCTCCTCCAACGGCGACATCTTCCACGCATGGGCCCAGCTGCCCATCTCGCGCGAGCAGTACAAGAAGGAGCAAGGGGAGCTGCAGCGGTTGCACTTCCCCAAGTGCAAGCCCCTCCCTGGCGCCCTGGATCTGCTTGCCCATCTTCGAGTCGCACGGAACAGGGATGACCAACCGATTGAGGTCGCTCTCGCGACGAGCAGCGAGAAGGCCAACTTTGACAGGAAAATCATCCGGCCAGAGACCAAGAAGCTGATGGATCTCATCCCCACCAACAGGCGCATTTTGGGAGACGACCCTCGCATTCAACAAGGTCGGGGCAAGCCGGCGCCGGACATCTATCTGCTGGCACTGGAAACCATCAACGCCACGTTGCCGGACGGCGTGCCCGAGATTGCGCCCAATGAGTGCCTCGTCTTTGAGGACAGCGTCCCTGGCCTCGAGGCTGGCAGGAGGGCGGGCATGCGTGCCGTCTGGGTCCCGCATCCGTGCCTGGCTGCAGAGTACAGGGGGAAGGAGAGGGAGGTGCTGGCCGGCAGAACGGGGTTGTTGAAGATTGACGATGAGCATCAACTTGGAGACCTGGATGATGGATGGGCCGAGCAGCTTTCTAGCCTGGAGGAGTTTCCTTATGAGAACTTTGGCACCGTTGCGCCCTGAGTTCAATGGGTCTGCCACAGTTCTTGTTCGAATTAACATGCATTACTGCTCGTTGTGCAGCGCCCCTCCCCTGCTTTCCCAGGGAGGGACCTAGCCAAGGGAGCTCTTGACGGCACAAACTCATAGGACGGTTAAGAATTGACGTGCTCATCATCTCTTGAACGACCAGCTTGGTTACTGGGATCATCGTGGCACACACCAACGATCAAACTGTCAAGGTAATTGTCCTGCTTGCCAGTCTAGACCGAATTGCAAACACCAAACTCAGCCACTCGATTATCACACGTAGCAGCCCACACTCGTACTGTAACAAATTTTCCGTTTCTAATAGTAACGAGTCATGCCCGCCATTCGATTTCTCTCAAGCTGCCACGTATCCACTGTCCACCTCGGCTCAGCAACATGCTCTGATAACGTTAACAGTTCCCACTTGCAGGTCCACTTCCACATGCACACTTTCCCACGCACAAAGCCAATTGCCGGGGCTCCGTTCAGCAAATTCAATTCAATGCCTTGAACCTTCAAGCCATCGTAGTATAGTGGTCAGTACTTCCGCTTGTGGCTTCCACACCTTCCGGCCCCTCTCCAGGGTTAGTTAGAGGTCAAGCGCGCGGACAACATTGGTTCGATTCCAGTCGATGGCAGATACTTCTTTTTGCCGTCTTTTTGACTGCTGCAGATACGTATATTACCTCACCTAATTAGTGTTCTATCTACCTAGGTAACAAACACGAACATGAACATGGTGGTTTGATGGTCAAGGTTCAGCCCGATAAGAGATCATGAATTGGCTGCGTGCCCGTGAGCCGTCTCCCATTCAAACCTTTACAGCCTTGACCTTTTCATTGATCGAATTGAGGAGATCGGCAGTTTTTTGCTTCTGTGGCGGCGCATACCCCTCAAGATACGGAATGCGGTCATTCTCAAAGAACGCCCTGACGAATTCCTTCTGTGCAGCGCCGACCTTGTCATCCCACAATGTCGTCAGGTAGAGAGCTGTCGTGCCGATGCTGCCGACCTCGGTGTACTTGAAATCGGGGTTGACGGTGCTGGCGTCCTTGATACGTGCAGCACGAGCCTTGGCGGCTAGCTCGACGGTGACGTACTTGTCGAGCTTGCCGGGACCGTCAGTGTCGTAGAGATGCAAGTCGTCTGCCACGGGTCCCCAGATGCGAAAGTCAAAGTCGTTGTCGTTACCGAAGAAGGCGTCGTTGCGCGACAGCGACCCGTCGAACTCGATCTCGTTGTGCTGGTGGAGATCATACAGGTTGATGGTCGACCTGTTTCCCGTGGTTGTGAGGTTGAAGTCCACCGCTGCTTGGAAGGCCCCGTCGAAGACGGTGGGCGCGTAGTTGTAGGCGTGGGAGACGCCGTAGCGTAGAGCGGCGAGGTCGATGTTCTTGCCCGAGCGAGGGAGCCAGCCGTGGTTCGCCATGGCGTTGAGACCGGGGCACGGGGATCGACCTGTGTTCAAGTTTAGTTTACGAGATTCCACTCTGGGGATCGGAAGAGACGGTCTGGAGACTGACTATCATCTCGCCCTGGCGGATGCCACTCGTGACCTTTCGGCTCCGGCAAGGCGGCGGCAAGGCTGAAAAGCCATGTCCCGACAAGCAAGCTGTGCTTCATGTCTGCGTGTTGACGGCGGTATTTTGAAGTTTGTCCGTTTGCACAAGAACGCAGTTAGACTCGGGAATTGGTGGCGCTCTGTTCAGTTGAAGTCCAAACCGATAGCTGGCCATGAAACAAGTCCAGTCATACTTATATGCTGACTCGGAAAAGACCACCGCTCATGCTTAAAACAAGAGAGCGTATTCGACTCCATCGTACCAAGCTATTGGAGACGTGACGACTATTTCGGCAATCTATACGCACCGAGTTCCCTGTCAAGAATAATTAGGTAAGGTAATGAGCTCCATACGCCGTTCAAACTGAAACCTGCCACTTTTCTCAGATACAAATTCCAGACGCTTATACACGAGTTATGCATAGCGTATCCGATACGCAGTTTATGCGGCGGAATTGTTTGGTCATCCCATGCCAGTATGAGCTTACTCACCAGGCTGGCGAATCGTCTCGAGAGGTGGCTGAGGCCCACGAGCTCGTCACTCCCAGTGATCAATTGACAGCCACCTTGATTCTTATGGGTTAGCGGTGGTGCTCTTATATTCGACTCCGACACGTGCCGGGAAGGTGTTTGTCGACCTGCCTGTTTCGAACATGCTATTATCCCCGGCTGATGGCAATGTAAACCATTCGCGGGGAGCGATTATGGAGCTTTGGGCAGCCTCTAAGTGCACGGCATTTGCACTGGTCAGCCAGTTTGGTCGGGGGATGGCTAGTCCCATTCCAGAGAGGGTAAGCTGACTGCGGGCAGATCAGGACTTTGCAGCAATGAGAGTGGCCGACTTCTGCAGCTAAGCAAGCCAAGCTTGATTCATTATCTCGTTCTAGACCAAAGCTTAGAAATACGAATTGAACGTTCCTAAGGATCCGGAATCATTGGCATTCGTCATCTTGGCTAGGCACGTTGCCCCCACATCCCGGCTTATTATTGTCCGGCCGGTATAAATGCCAGGTTCAAGCACCCGGGTGCACCGGCCGAGGTGCGTCTTCTGAAGTTCGGGGGAAAGCCCGAGGCCCCTGTCAAGCTGGAGAGGCTGAGTAAGGCCCCGGTCTTGGCAACGAGCATTTCACGACCTTCCAGAGTTCTTCCATGTGTTTTCTTTCCCCTGCACGCGCATCCCGCTGCAAGTGCGGCAATGCGCGGTTCTTTGAAAATCCACGATACCACCTGGATGGGTCTTATCGTGATAGCTACCTACTAGGCACCGAGTGAGTCATTGTGCCTGCAAGACGTGCTCATTGTGAGCCATAAAGGGGCAGCATCAAGCACGACGACCGATGTGATTACACAGCCCACCCGCCCATTGACAGTAGCGGTCAGGTCCCGTCTTGATGGCTGGCATCGAGATTCGAGAGGCCGGGCGCAGCTCCCGTGACGTATGAGATGCTTCGAGATCTCTTCTAGACCGACACGAGGTATAAACCATTCCAAATACAGAGGGCTGTGTTGTGGAAACCCGACATTCCCCTGGATCCAGCTGCCTGAACCGGAAGCTGACCTGCGACTGCTACGAAAGTCCAGTCTGCATCACCAAGCTGACTACACCGTGGCCGCGAATAAAACACACATATTCCCGTTGTTGGCGTCCGAGATAATTATCTGAAATTTAGTATAGTTATCCCAAACACTAGAAATCCTGATTCACCATCAGTTCGAGTCAAGCTGGCGCACATGGACGAAACACATGTACATGTATCAGAGCCTGGCGAGAGCAGCCGGACCAACCATCACAAGACCCGCCGGCCTCACCTAAAGTCTAGGTACGGCTGTACGAAATGCAAGGAACGCAGGATCAAGGTACGCACACAGCGTATACGCGAGATAAATACCAGCTAAATATAATTAACTATGCATCCGCTGACACTATCGCGTACCCTACGCAGTGCGATGAACTCACCCCACGGTGCTCCAGGTGCAACAAGAAGAACCTGGTTTGCCAGTACCCCAAACGACCGGCTAGCCTGCTCGCCGCGGAGGACTATCACCACAACTGGGTCGAGCCGGTAGACCCACAGCCCGTCCAGCCCGAGTTTTCCAGAACAGAGTCGGGCATAAGCAGCCCTGAAGGCTCCGGCCGCTCCCTCGACTCATCCACGAGATTCGGGAGCCCATTGTCTCCAAGGTCGGGCGTAGCTCCCTACCCACCGCTGCCTCCCTTACCAAAGCACACCAGGCTCGACTCGCCCCTGCAATCACAAGTGGCACAGACTCTAGCCCCTGCAGAGTTCGAGCTGCTCAAGCACTTCATCGAGCACACCAGCAAAGACACAACCATTGACGAGGAAGAGCAGTACACCCTGCAGGTTGGCATCCCCAACCTCGCCTGCCAGAGCCAGCTCCTGATGAGATCCGTACTCGCAATAGCAGCCGTATGCAAGTGCCGTGACATTATCGAGCAGCCGTCCGTCTCGTGCCAAGACCGCGAAAAGGTCCTCGAGCTGCTTGCCCTCGCCGACCGACACCACATGAAGTCCCTGCGAGAAACCCAGGCGGCGCTGCCCGAGGCCAAGCAGTACGACTGCGTGCTGGCTAACGCGGCCATGATGGGCATGTACGGGTCCGGCAGCCACTGCGTGCGCATCTGGCTCGTCAAGACCGCTGCGATGGGCGACCAACCCCTGTCCGACATCATGCCCAAAAACACGCAGTGGATCAGCCTCTTCCGCGCCGCGCACCTCGCCTACCTCGGCATCCTAAACAAACCCATCACCGACGACACGACCCTCACCAGCCCAGCCCGTTCTTGCTCGCCTGTTGAGTACCTACCAAAGTCCTTCAATGGCAGCAGCAGCAGCAGCAGCGGTTCCCAATCGACCTACGAGTACAAAGTGTCATCTCGCATCGACCAGCCGCGAGTGCCCCCAGCTCACGTGCTGAGCCCCATCCTAGCCGCCACAGTCGGCTCCGCCATGGCGAAACTCCGCGAAAACGCCCGTCAGATGGCCGACATCGTCCTGGCGAGCAGCGGAGGATATGGAGGCGAAGAGCCCACCGTGACCATCCTCGACATCCAAGCATGCTGCGCCGCATTAGATCTCCTCGACAGCGTCGTCGCCGAGACATTCCCCCGGGCCGACGACTCCATGTCCAGCCAGCTCAACCACAGCAAACAGCTCCCTTTCAAGGTCAACGTCGACCCCGTCGGCGGCCAACTCGCCAAAGTCTCACCCTGGCTACGTCGCTACGCGGCCAGCATAACCTCCATGATCCCCTCCCGCCTCCCTCGACGGGTGATCATGGCCTTTGTCCACAAGGTGCCCGTCAGGTATCTGAACATGATCGAGCACATGCTCAGCCTCATCCAGACGGTCTCGTCCGACTCGGACATGGGATCCATCACGCCGGCGCCGGACCTGAGCCTGGCACGCCAGCTGGCCCTCGACATCTTTGCCCACTGGCTTGTCCTGGTCGTTCTGCTCGACAACGTGTGGTGGATCGGCTGCGTCGGCGCCTGGGAGCTCCAGCGTGTTGTTCGGTTCAGACAGGACGCGCGATGGTCGGGGGTGATGTGGAACAGGGACGAGGATTGGTGGCCTGAGAGTATGTTTGAAGTCAGCCAGCAGTTTGAGAAGCACAGAACGAGGAGCTGAGCGGCCGGGATGTATAAGGTATCCAAAGAACGGGAATGCCGTCAATGAGAGACTGTACTAGTGTGGTCAGTATGGGATCCCAAAAAGTTTAGAACACATACAACGTGGTAACATCGGGTTGCGGGTCGAGTGCTCAAGTCGGCATCATCTGCATCAGGGGTAAAAAGCGGAGAATGTCAACAGCTGACTCGGTCAAAGATCCAAAAAATAAATACATACAACACCAGGGATTCGCTGGTGGTCACCCACCCAACTACTAGTCTGGCGGTCGCTTGCTTATCTAGGGCAGAGCGGACGGGATACCGAGTTCTCAAGTGCCTATGGTCGTATGTATCATTCCGCCGTGCGCCTGAGCACTATAGACTAGAATTGAGCACGAGTGTGGGACGAGTCGATGCAATTACAATCCCCAACTTTGCCGGTCACATGCATGCTCTTCTTGTGGCCTTCCATATCTTTCTTTATATATAACGTACCGTGTTAGTAACACGAGACCTTAGGAGCATCTGTAATCTCTGCCCGTCGGTGCATGCATGTCTTCAGTTGCCCCTGAATCACCGCCTGCGCCACTTCAAACGAACCTCCCCGGGCTGCTTGAACTGCATCGTCAGCCGCGTCTGTGTATCCTGAATCATACGCACGAGATGACGGCTCGCACTTTCGACCGTCTCTCCCTCCCGCAGTATGGGCTCGATATTGCACTTGGAAAAAACCGTGGCCATGACCGTCACAAACTCGACCTGGGACATCTTTTGCCCGGGGCACACGCGCGGCCCGCCGCTCCACGCGTTGAACGCCCCCTTCTGAGGGACCAGTAGCTTCTCATCGCCCAGTTGGCTCGGCGGCCCGACGATCCATCGCGAGGGTCGGAACTCGAGCGAGTCGGAGCCCCAGATGTCTGGTAAGGTGTGCAGCGCGCTGTTGTTGATGTAGGTTGTCAAGGGCGCTTGGATCAGATGCTGTTTGTCGCCGATGGTGATGGAGATCGACTCGTGGACCGTCCGGCCGATGTGCGTGACGGCGGGGTTCAACCGCAGGGTCTCGTACTGTCCACGTAATTACCATGTTAGCCAAGGCATTGCTTAATCCTGATCCAAACAGTCAACTCTCACCATGATGGCCAGGCACCGTGTCAGCTTCGGGAACACGGAGGCATAGTCGCCGGTGCCGTGCTCTCGCAAAACGCAGTCCAGCTCCTCTTGGATCCATTTTTGCCACTTTGGCTGCGCGGCAAGCCACGCAACGGCAAAACCAAGCGTGTTCCCTGTGGTGTCAAAACCCGCCGCGGTGAAGAGGAACAAGTTGCCTGCAATCTCCTCCTCGGTCAGGTACAGTGCGGTCGCCTCGCCGGTCTTGCCAGCATCAGACAGCCGCACAAGCTGGCTGACAAAGTGATCGAGTTGGTGCCCACCGCCGCCATGTGTGCGCTGCTCGTCAAGCATCTCGGCCGTGAGCTGTGGTAGCCTCTCGACGGCGACGCCGAGCGTCTGGAGAAGCTTGGGCATGATGGCGAGGCGCAGGATCCAGGTCGGCACGAACGCGGCGAAGACGATGAGCTCGCCGCAGAGCGAGACCACGTCCGTGTACGACATGGCGGCCGTGGGGTCCTGGCAGAGCTTCTGCGGCTTGAAGGGCTTGGGCTGGCCGTAGCCGACCAGGCTGAGTACGTTGATGGCGATGGCACGCAGCGAGCCGACGCTCTGGGCTTCGCCGCCGTCGGGCCGTTGGGCCATGTACTCCACCATCTTGTTGGCCTGCTGCGCGGTCTCGGTCCAGACGGCTTCGCTGATGCGCTCGTTGAGGTTGGGCACGACGATGCGGCGCTGGCGGCTCCAGTCCTCCCCGTTGGTCTTTATGTGTCACGATGTCAGTTCTGAGGCTGCGCTGCTGCCGTGACATGGATGATACGTACCGCGATAACATTCTTGCCAAAGGCGCTCATGATCGTCGTCGTGATGTCGAGTTGGGGAAACTCGCGCCGGCGCGTCAAGATCAGCTGCGCCGTGTCCGGGTCGGCACACCACAGCTCATTCCGGGTGGGATTGGCGAGGATGAAGACGCGGCCGTATTTCTCGTGCAGCGTGTATCGGTCGGCGTGCTCCCACCCCACTATCGACACCTGGATGCCCGGCTTGCAAATGGGTATGAGCTCGAGGAGAGGCTTTAGTGGCACCTTGATGAACAGGTACGGAAACTGCGTGGTCGGGTTAATTAGCATTATTAACCCGAGGATGGCCGACATCATGAGGTGAAGGTCTCGAATTATGCACGGGATGGGGGCAACCCACACCGTCAGGAGAAAATGGACAGATGAGAACCGGAAGCCCCGATCGTTTGGCGATGCGGTAATTGCGGAATAACGCCCAGGCCCAGTTCCCAAGCCAAAGGAGCGGGCCTGCGACAAGGAATGTCACCAGGTAATTCATGGTATTAATTATGGGCGGTTTTCGCTGCGTCAGGTAAGGTACCTCAATTCGGTGAGGTCGTTAGATCTGAATGACAAACATGTCAATGTTGCTCCCGGGCCGAGAGAGGATCGGGGGACAACTGAACAGAGCAGCTAGGCACGATTACGTGGTTGTGCGAAACTTGCAGATGTCTCATATAACCTGTTAAATAGCGTGCTGTACTGTTGTTCTGTTGGTTCCAGGTTGGTTGGCGGACGTGCCGCAGTGTGTTGGAGGCAAAGCTCACGGCTATGAATGTGGTCAGCATTTAGCGCAGGATAACTGCTTTGGCGTTAGTGCTTATGGGATACCAGGTATCAAGACATATTCTGGTAATAATAATGCCCCTCGTCTTTTGCATGCATATTGACCGAGCTGAAGTGTGGGTTGATCTTGCATCCTTTTAACCCGAACAACCGCCTACAAGTGTTAACTTAAAAGCTACATACTTGCCATTTCAGGCCAGAATGGGGAATGATGAAGTTGAAGCTCATTCGAGGAGCCTTGTCTAATATACTGCTGCATTGGAATGACGCGCTTTACTTATATTATTGACTAAAACATGAAAAAAGAGCACACCCCACCCAACACTTGCTTATCATGCCTCAGCTAGCTCAGGTATGTAATTCATCTTAGATGTGAAATTTCTCTTCGCGCTAACAGAGAAGGCTATTACTGACTCCGCTCCTCCGCTCTTAGACGCCATCACCGTCACCCACCACAACCCAGTTACGGGTACGGGTGTGTGGTCTAGTGGTATGATTTCTGTTTCGCAACACTCGCTTTGCATTTCTACAGACGGTCCCCGGTTCGATCCCGGGCACATCCAAGTTCATTTGCTTTTTGCTATTTTCTCTACCATATGTTTTCCTGCTGCAGCTACATATTTGCCAGGGACCAGTTCAGTTAGCTCCTTTCTTACCATAGCTTCCTTCCACTTCTGACTGGGTAAACGGACTGACTGATTCGTTTATGAAGAGAGCAGAGATGTTTCTTCTTCCAACCCTGATCACATCGTGCGGTACATACCCGGTAGGTACCTGGTAGGTACCTGGTAAGGTACCTGGTTGAAAGTGGAGCGCTGCTAACTCGCCTGCACTCCATAGTACCGTGACATATCTTCAGCCAAGAGCGAGATCGAAGGTGTTGTACCTAGGGTTGCTGTGGGCAAGTTTCACATCCATCGCTCTTGTCCGAGCTAGCAGTTGCTTGTGCACCTGTCACTGATCTTTAGAAAGAGTACAAGGTTGAGTGAGGTATGCACAAAAACAAGTTCCACTGCAATATCACCAAGGCGAAGTATCTGATAAATCCCGGCCCCCGACGAGGTGAAGAAACTACCAGGTAATCAAGTGGCAGTCAAGTTGGGAGGAGGGACGAGCGGTGGTGGGTGTGGATCCTGGGGATAGTAATGACTGGAAATCGGCGAACAAGGTCTGCAACTACCTAAAGTCTTTTTGTTTATAAATGTAACGTTAGGTACATGTAGCGATGCGCTCAAATAATTCAAGTTTGTCTTTCCTAGATAAGGAATCTGACGCGACGAGCATACTTACCTACCTACATGGTGGAGGCGCGAGAAGTAAATGGGCAGGCACTGCGAGGTCTATCGTTCGGAATTAAGCAAACGTTGTGGAAACTTAAATTGATCCCAACACCGCATTCCGAGTCCCATGACCAACCAGCCAAAAATAAGAACAAGCCAGCGGGTCCACCTGCAGCCCTGAGACCTCCAAGACAAGCTTTCCTCGGCAAATGCCACCCCGAAGATTGACTTGCAACGACCAGATTTCCTCATACTTGGTCCCACCAGCCTGACCGTGCTCTCTTCCAAAACATCACCCCTTCTCGTGGTCCGTGAAAATCTCAATGCAGACTCGAAAACCTCGCTGGAAACATGCCACAAACAACGCGTCGGGGAAGCCCTGTCGTTCCATCCGTCTCGGCAGCACCAGCTGCTGCCCCGGCGACATCATCACAAGCAGCATCGTCCGCACCCAAAGGTTCGATAGCCCGCGTGCAAGATTGGTCGTTGGCATCACAGGGAGGACAAAGGTGCGCTTGGAAGTCCGCCGCGGGCACGGGGGTAACGACGTACCTGTTTACCGGTCCCGACATGATTTGCTCGGCGAGCAAAACTGCTACGACGTATTTGACAGGTATACGCACATACCGCCTGGTGGGTGGTTCTCGTGCCCGTTTCGATCCAGTTGCCGCGCTTGCAGCCAGGGAGCGCCGCGACAAACACCGTCAATCGACAGGGTAGAACCCGAGCGCCTGCAAGAAACAACCGGCAAAGTGTGAATGGAGTGCTTGATGCTCCAGGAAACGGAGCCCCTGATGCCCCGGTCAATGGATTCCTGATAACTTCGGCGTCCCTGATGCTCCCGGCAATCATGCTCGTCGCATCGACTTTGCCGAGACGGACGTTGCAGTCCCACCACCCGGCTGCACTCAGACGCCCGCTGGCGCAGCCCTACCGTTTTCTTTCTACGTCAACACGGCGGTGGTCAGCAAGTCAAAGAGGTTCGAAGCGTTTGTGGAATACGTGGTCCACGCCGAGCTGTACGAATACCAGAGGGGCGTGGCCAGGCTATCTGCCCGTGCAACGCAGCCCATCGACGTGCGCCAGCTCCCAGCGCCTCCCTTCGTCGGCTCCAAGCTCGAACGATGGGAGGCAATCAAGTTCGTCCGGACGCTGCGCCTCCTCGACGGCCGCCAGAATGACAAGCTCAGCTTCAAGGAAAGAACCCGCAGCCTCTTTCACAGATCGAGTTTGCCCAGGTACGCGTTCCGTCTGGTAGTCGATTATCCGACCGTGATTCAGACCGGAACTGCGACGGTCTATTTCTGCGTGCGCCTTGTCCCGCTGCTGGATCGGTCCACCAACGAGATCGCGCCCGAGATCCTAGCACCACTCCGATGGCTCTTCTTCAAGCTCTATAGCATCACGAACATCACGGCAAGAAGCTTCATCATAATAAAGAGCACAATGATACCAAGCATACGTGCATCGCGGACCTGGTGTTGGTATGGAGCAAGGACGACCTGGCAGCTGTGCTGCCTTCGGTGGCGGAAACGATGCAGGAGAGCAACGGAGGACCGGGTAATGCACTGCCACCAGCACTCGATGTCGGAGCGCTGGTCAGCTTAAATTTCAGCCGCTGGGCTGCAACGTATGCCAAGCAGAGCCAGCGGTTCAGGGAACCTCTCTATCTGGACTTCGTGCCGCCTAACATACACTACTGTCACTTCATCGACTGGACGGTGTCGATCGAGGTGGCGAAAGAAAGGGTCAAGTTGCATGGCCGACGACCGGTTAGAGTTATTGGATCTTGCTATTAATTAATTCTGGTAGAGGCCTGTAAACCCCACGTTACTGCCAGGAATCGAGAACGGCAATAACGAGTCCACGTTCCCATCAATCGTGATCATGACCAACCCAGGCTAGGAGAGAAACTAATGAAGCCAAGCTACCTCAAGTACCTATTATCCTTCACGTTGTCCACGTGTACCGAATCGAACCGGGCTTGAATCCTGCATCTAGAGATGCTCCTGGAACCACTGAACGGCCTGGAGAAAGGCTGCCTTCTTTGCATAGGCAATCTGCGGGACCGACGTGTCTCCACGAACCGAGAAGCCATGAGCGGTACCCGAATACAGATTGATCTGGTACGGGACCTTGTCGCTGTGGCTGGCGAGGATGACCTCGCTCTCATGGCGCTTGGGCGCAGGGAAGATGTCGTCGGTCTCGGCAGCAGCAATGCTCACGGGGCCCTTGATGGCCTTCAGCTCTTCCGGCTGGACGAACGAGGGGTGTGCGAGGTAGCCGACGTCGATCTGGCCGGGCTTCAAGAACCGGACCACGTACTTGGCGCCGAAGCAGTAGCCGGCGGCGGCGAGCCTCGTGATGCCGAGCTCGGAACGGATGGCCGTGATGACGGCCTCAACGACCGGGTCAACGCGCTCGGGGAGGTGGGAGCCCTTGTTATCGGTGCCCTTGGTCATCCAGCTCATGAAGTCGAATCCGGGCGGTGACGGGAACTTGACCGGGTCACCTGGGGTGTTGCACGCGGAGTCGGCCATCAGAATCCGAGCCAGATGCCCCATGGGAATGTGGAATGTGGAACTCACCGTGGAAAAGGTCGGGAATGATGGTGGTGTAGCCGTTCTCAGCGAACGAGTCGGCGATGAGCTGCGCATTGGGGAACTCGTGGCCCAGGACATCGGGCAGGAGAAGCACAGCTTTGCCGTTTGCAGTGGCTGACTTGACGACGTAGGCGGGGTAGCCACCGACCGTCTCGTAGGTCCCGCTGGGCTTGCCGCTATCCTTGACGCCGACGGCGCAGCACTGGGCGGGGGGGTTGGAAGCCATTGTTCGATTCGTGAGTGAGTAAGCAGCAGTCTGTGGGAATCCTGGAGATGGGAAATGTGAAGCTCTTGAACTTCTGGATCTTAAATACTCGAGGAGATGAGATGAAATCGAGAAGTTCAGAGGCTGTGGACCCATGCAGCCAGTCAGGTACCAAGTGGGGGTCGAGTGGGGATGATGACGAGATCGAGCGCAGTTCTGCTGTGGCGGAGAAATGAAGGGCAGGAACGAGCGGATCGAGCCAACCATCGACCAGCGAGAGCGGAGATGGGACCGTCGGCGATTCGGGGCTTTCGGGTACTTCGGAGGAACGACACAGTCTTTATGTCCGTCGCACTTGCCGACCGCGGTCCCGATCTTTAGAACAAGGCATGATTAATTACAAGACAACGAGTTGCAGCCAGACTCGCTTAAGGTCGAGCTGGAAATTGCCAACCCGCCGCCGAGTTGGCTTGTTGATGCAACTCCATACCACGATGTTGACATCACAGCGAAGGATCGAATGATGTGACAGTTGGTTCTGAGTCACGCCAAAATTATCAATTGCTAACGGCTATCAAGGCAGGTGAGCATTGCTGGGTCCAAAATTGCCTTCCCCAGTTCAGACATGAAGAATCCATAACATCCTGTCAGACCGGCCGGACAAACAAGTAGGCCACGCGGGGCCCGACGCGGTCTATGAAGCATGCTTCACGCAAACAGTCTTTGGCTGGGGTCTGACAGATGAACTCCTCCCAACGTCTCCCAATCCAAAAGAAAAGAGGAAGAGGAATAGAAAAAAAATCGCCATCCCAACGGCGTGTCCAGTCCACAATGCTCACTGCCGCAAGGCTCCTCCAAACACCTCCATGATCTCAGTTACATGCCGTGGCCTCACATCGAGCCCATGTTTGACTCTCTCTCCCAAGACATCGGGCAGTCTCTACTTGTTCGCACAAGTGCAGTCTCCAGCATAGCGGCCGCATGTCTTGCAAGTCTCGGGGTCGTCGCCGGGCTGAGCCGAGTCCTCGTCGCTGCACTCGCAATGGGTGAACGGCTTGCCGCACCGTGTGCAGGTTGGCCGTCGGTAGCCAGCGGATCACTCGGTGATCGGGGCGCAGACGCAGGCCGAGACCAGTCGGCCACACTGCTTGCAATATTGGTGGTCGTCGTCGTCAACAACATGAACGGCCGCAGCATCCTCTCGCTTGCGGCTCTTCTTCTTGAGGTGGATGGCGCCCGAATACTCCTCCTCCGATGACGGGTCGGTGCACTCGCACTCGCACTCAATGTACGGCTTGCCGCAGAGCCGGCAGGCGATCCGGCCCGGGCGCTGGTTAATACCGGCTTGATGCTGCTGGTGAACCGCCGTTGGGTGCGAGTGCGTCCAGGCGCAGGTGCAGTCTTTAACTGGTTCGTTGCAATCTGCGCAATAAAGGACTGGGTCCTTGACAACGGGCTTCCAGTTGACTGAAGGC